GGAGCAGCAGCAGCAGCAGCGGCAGGGACCTCGTTTTGGGGGAGGATTGGGGGTTGTTCCTCCCCCCCCCCCCCCCCTTCCCCCCCCTCCCTCTACGATGCCTCTCGTCCTCTCCTCGCTCTTCTCTGTCGCCGCCGCCGCCCGGCTAGGCCGGGTCGCGATTTTCGCCCGCGACGAGGGCGTGGAGGGGGTGTTCTGCCCCACCATGCCGCATGGGCCCGCCGCAGCGGGCGGGGCCATGGTCATGCACGCATGTGCCGCATAGAGTGCGCCATGCACGATCGATTCGATGACAAAACTGATGTCCGACAGCCCCTGTGGCCGTCTTCCCCCTCTCCCCCTCCCCCCCCCCCCTTGCTCCCATTGTGTGTCCATTTCTCGCACCGTCCACGTAGTGTATGCACCCCCGTGAGGTGGAGAGTGCGGCACGTGGTTTGCGTTTGGACGACTCCGTACGGGTACGCGCGCGAGAACAGATCCCCGCGCGCGGCGGCAGAAAAAATAAAAATAAAACACATACACAGGCCTCAGAGGCGCAGTCCCCCGCAGACACGGCGCGAAACGCGACGGTCTACGGGCGGGACCCGGGCGGGTGCGCGCAGCGCGCGGCGCGCGCGTGCGGGCAACAGAGGGTAGGGGTGGGGAAGACGGCGAGGAGGGGGCGGCGGCGGCGGCGGCGGCGTCGCCGGCGTCGGGTCCGGCGTCGGGTCCGCATATGGCGTCGCCCTCCCGCAAGCGCGCCCACACCGAGAGCGACGGTGGCGGCGAGGAGCCCGTGGCAGTCGCGGCCGGCTTCGAGGCGCCCATCTTTGGCGCGCGCGTCGTCGGCCAGGTCACGACGCTGGCGCTCGAGGGCGAGGACGGACCTCTGGCGTCCCTCGGGCTGCGCGGCGTCGCAATCGATCAGGCGGGCGCCTGGTACGTCACGACTATTGACTCGTTGCTGCACGTCTCGGCGGCCGGGCGCGTGCGCACCGTGGCAACCTGCGAAGGCGGGTTCTTCGGACTCGCCGTCAGCCCGGATGGGAGCACGGTGTTTGAGGCAGACTTCGACACCCACAAGATCCGTCGCGTGGAGGTGGCGACGGGTGCTGTGACGGCGATTGCGGGTAGCGGCGAAAACGGCGATGCAGACGGCGTGGGCGATGCGGCGCAGTTTTGTTCCCCAGTCGGTCTCGCCATCAGCCCGCACGGGAGCGCGCTGTTTGTGGCGGACTCCGACAACCACAAGATCAGGCGGGTGGAGGTGGCGACGGGCGCGGTCACTACGCTCGCGGGTAGCGGAGCCAGCGGCAGCGCTGATGGCGTGGGCGGCGCGGCGGAGTTCTGCTGGCCATACGGCGTCACTGTCAGCCCGGACGGGAGCGCGCTGTTTGTGTCAGACCTCGAGAACAACAAGATCCGGCGGGTGGAGGTGGCGACCGGTGCTGTGGCTACGCTCGCGGGTAGCGGCGAATGCGGCGATGCGGATGGCGTGGGCGATGCGGCGCAGTTCAGCGCCCCACACGGCCTCGCCATCAGCCCGGACGGGAGCGTGCTGTTTGTGACGGACTGCGACAACGACAAGATCCGGCGGGTGGAGGTGGCGACGGGTGCAGTCACTACGCTCGCGGGCAGCGGCGCCAGCGGCAGCGCTGATGGCGTGGGTGACGCGGCGCAGTTCAAACACCCAGCGGCCCTCGCCATCAGCCCCGACGGCAGCACCCTATCGGTCTACGCGGACGGCCGCCTCCGCCAGGTCTGCGTGGCGGCGCCTCCTCCGCCTCCCTCCTTCGCGCCGCTCGTGGTTCCGCCCTCCACCTTTTCCGCCGACATGGCCAACACGTGCGGCGACGCTACTCTCCCCCAGGGCATGGTCACCTTCCTGGTCGGCGACGACGAGGAGCGCGTCGAGCACGTGAGCAAGTGCGTCCTCTGCGTGCGGTCCGTGTTCTTTCGGACCATGTTTGGCATCGGCATGAAGGAGCGCGACGCCGCCGTAGTGACGGTGCGCAAAACCGACCTCGCCACCTTCACCGCCCTCGTCCGCTACCTCTGCACCGACCAGCTCGACCTCGGCGAGGAGGAGGGCGAGCAGGCGCGGCGCGCGCTCGACCTGCGGCAGCTGGCGCAGATGTACCAGGTGCCGCGCCTCGAGCTGCTCTGCGCGCAGGCGCTGCAGGAGAGCGTCGCGCCGGCGAGCGCCGTGCCGCTGCTCGAGGCGGCGCACACGACGGGCGACGGGCGGCTCCTCGCGCAGTGCCGCCGCTTCGTGGCCGACCACGCCGCCGAGGTGCGCGCGAGCGGCGGCGTGGAGCAGCTGCGCGACCTGGGCGTGGCCAAGGGGCTGCTCGGCGACGCGCTCGACCAGGTGGCGGAGCTGAAGAAGGGGCGACGCGCGCGGCGGCGGCCTGACGCGCCCCTGTGCAGAGTGGCCTGAGCATTGAGACACTTGTGAGAGGGACCATGTGAGGGTAGGATGGTTGGCAAGACGAGGCGTCTAAAGCCGTCCTCTTTTCTACGACTAGAGTAAGTCTCTATGATACCGCCGTAGAGTTCTGCCGGGGGTGGGGGGCTGTTATTCTGAGAGGGGGGGAGGGGGGTGCGTGCGTGCGCGCGCGTTGTGACTTGTGTGCGCGCGCGTGCGCATGTGTGTAACAAGGGGGGGGCGGGGGGGGCACGGTCGCAAGGTGTATGAATGTATTTTAGGGAAGACGGAAGGTGGACTGATAGTTTATTGCAAACGTATAAGGAAGCTATTGAGTAACACCATACA